TTGACTTCTTCATCCAGGGTAGATTAGGTAATTAGCCCTTCCCGGCATCTTTTTGAAGTCTTATCTTAATAATCTTTTCAGGTTATGTTTTACCTAGGAAACAGAAGATTCAGAAAGGGAGGAGAAAATGCTTAGAAGGTACAGAGAAGGCTGGGATTCTTCCCCCACCCCACCCCTGTCTTTTTGAGACAGGGTCTCACTATGCAGTTCAGGCTGGCCTTGAGCTCACTTTGTAGCCCAGGCTAGTCTCGAACTCTCAATGATCCTCCTGCCTCAGCCTCCTGAGCGCTGGGATTACAGGCATGCGCCACCATACCCGGCCTTTTAAGGCTGGGATTCTGTGGGGCCCTCTAGAGAACCAGCACTGTCTCCCACAGCTAGATGATAAAGGACAAGAACCAAGTCTTGTACTTTTCATTTCTTCCAGCTGGATCAAAATTATAAGAGTCATGTTGCTAGAGTCTTCTCCTATAGGATTACCCTAGGCCCAGTAAGGGGTTCCTAATGGACACCCCTCATTTGCAAGAATAGCTGTACTGTCACCACATTGAGGTCATCTCTTCGCTCACCCATCCCACTGCCACTCTCTAAGAGCAGTGGCTTGTATCTAACTTGTAACTTCCCTACATACCAGAGTGCCTAGCACTGATAGTGTATACAGGATAGTGTATACAGGATGGATGGATAGATGCATGGATGGATGGAAAGAAACCCTCATGTTTCAAGCTGCAGTGGCCACTGGTCTCCATCTACATGTGGCTTCCCTCAGGTCACCAGCTTTCAACTATGCAGAACTCAGGGAAGCAGAGAGAGAGGGAACATACTCTTCTGCAGCGGAGGGGGTGCTGGGCAGCAGGTAGGCAGCAACAGGCTTCCTGAGCAGGGCAGGGCTTGGCAGGCACCCAGGAAGTATTGCCCACACTCTGACCTTTCCTCTCTGGATGGAAGCTCAGGTTTCGGCTGATGTGAGGAAGCTGCCTGCTGTACCAGACTGCAAGTACACTCTCTCCCCACCTTCACATGCTGCCGTGGCCCAACTCCCGGGAGACGAGTGAGACCTGGAGCCTGCAGCCATTGTTCAGAAGAGATGGGGGAGCATACGCAACCTGCCTACCGCTACCTCATTCTCAGAATTTCTTTTTATTTCTCAAAGATTCCTGTGAGGGTTAAAGGTTAAATACTAGTCAAAGGCTGGGTTCTTGTGAAGTTAGAGAGATAAGGCCAAGCAGAACAGAAGTCACCAAGAGTAAGGCTACTTAAAAGCGTCCCTGTCCTTCAGACATCCCGATCACCCTGAGAATACCATGGAGCCGACAAAGGAGCCTTTCTGCCTGCCTTGACAAGGCCTGTCTTGCGAAGACAGGATTTTGTTTTCTCTCCCAGCACATGGTAGAAGTGGCTGCATTCTTCCTCTTGCTTGAGGAATAAGACGTTTCTTTGAGTTTTTCTACTCTGCACTTTTTACCTCAAGCATTTTCCTGTCATATACCAGCTATACCCTCTCCTCCCCTTGATGGAAGAGGATATTCTTCCTGAGGTCAAGATCCTGTTCCTTACTCTGTAATCCTTTTTTTTTTTTTCTTTTCTTTTCTTTTTTTTTTTTTTTTGTTTGTTTGTTTTTGGTTTTTTCCCCCGGTACCAGGGATCGAACTCACGACCTTGCACTTGCCAGGCAGGCGCTGTGCCGCTGAGCTAAATCCCCAGCCCCTGACTGTGTAATCCTTACCCATCCCAAGCCACCTGGGTTTGGTTCTCATCTTTCTTTTATAAATCAGTCTCCTCCTCTATCCTGGTTTTTGCTTGTGTCTGCCTGAATTCCTGGGTGCAGGGGCCCAGCCTTGTACCCAGCATGTCTTGGGGACCTGGGGAGAAGCTGAGATCACAGTACCAGTAACAGTGATTTTGGTTGGATTGTCACCAGGCACGTGACCTTCACTGAATTGAGTAAGATAACCAAGTGTGTATTTATTAGGATGTCTCTGCCCAGCTGGAACATTTAAGTATTTACAAAATGTTCTCCCTGTTCGGTCACTTAAAGTCCTTGCTCTCAAAACATGTTTTGATTCTCCATATATGACAACATCTTGGATAACAGCTCCTCTGCCAGGAGACAAGAGATTCTGCTTTGGGAGTCAATCTTTACATTGACTGTGTGAAAGTTTCCTCTTGTTGTTGTTTTGTTTTGTGTTTTGAGACAGCGTCTCACTGTGTAATTCAGTATAGTTCACTGTGGCCTTGAACTCACCCTGTAGCCCAGGCTAGTCTCAAACTCATGGATCCTCCTGAGTCCGCCTCCCGAGTGCTGGGAGAAAGTTTCATCTTTTGGTTCTGTGAAAGAAATGGTATTGTATCGCCTACCAATGAGATTAATGAGGAGTGTGGTATACACCATGGAGTGTGTATATTGAAGTGAGGTTGGAGGACTAATAGATTATGGTATTTTATTTTTTGTTTTATTTTGTTTGGGGTTTTTGTTGTTGTTTTACTTTTTTTTTTTTATTTTGTTTTTGTTTTGTTTTGTTTGAGACGTGTTCTTGCTAAGTACCCCCGGCCTAGCCTGGAACTCACTGTATATAGCTCAGGCTGGTCTCAAACTCATAATCCTCCTGCTTCAGCCTCCAAAGTACTGAGATGATAGGTATATGTACCACCACTGCCAGATGCATTTTATTTACTAAATATTTATTGAGTATCTACTATTATCAGGCATCGGTGATATGCCCTGGAATTAAAAACATGAAAAAGTTACAGAGCCTGCCCTCCTAGACTACTAAACAGGGAAAAATGAAACAGAACATTTTATTTTGTTATTTATTTATTTAGTGCTCTGGGGGTGGAACCCAGGGTCCACTCTGCCACTGAGCTACACCCCCAGCCCCATGACCACTGTAATACAAAGAAATAAGTACCACAATTAGATATAGACAAAGTGGTCTGGATTTGTCTTAGTTTGAAAAGACTAACTTTGTACCTTGTCTGTAGAATATGCCTGATGTATCTTATCTTGCACACACATTGTTAGGAATAAATAAAATTACAAAGCTTCATGACGCAGGTGACAGTTGAGCTGGATCTTGGAAAATGAGAAGGTTTTCAAGTGCAGAGAGGGAAACTACGAATGGGTAGCAATATCAGCACCTTCTTATCCTGCTGAAATACTCTCATAATCAAGCAAAGTTGGAGAATATTTGGAAGGTAAGAGTGTAGCTGAAGGACAGTGTGTTACAATAATTTAATCAGGGGCTAGGGATTTAGCTCAGTGGCACAGCGCCTGCCTGGCAAGCGCGAGGTCATGAGTTCAATTCCCGGTACCAAAAAAATAATAATAATAATTTAATCAGCCCTTCATGTGACATCAGAGCCCTGCAGGTTTGAGACACAGAAATATTCTCTTGTTTTTATAGACTATGTCCTGGCCACCTTTTTAGGAAAGGGGGAAGCAGGGGACTTTTTTATTCCATCAGGAGCTTGAGAATCCCACTTCTACAGTGCAGAGCTCCACCGGGTTGGCTGGACAGAGCACCAGTAAAGCAGAGACAGCCCCTCCTAGCACTTAGCCTCCAACCTTCCTCCAGCCCACGCAGGTCCCAAGCTGTTGGAATCTCTGTGGGAGCCTTGTGACTGTAAAGAGGTTAAGTTGAAAGACCCTACCCCACCAGAGAAGATATCAGGTAGATGCCAAATAAACACATGACACCTTGCTCAACATCAGTGTCATTAGAGGGACACAAGTCAAAGCCACAGTGAAATACTACACACTTAGTAGAATCACCAGATTTTTTTTGGAAATGGACACTGCCAGATGTTGACAAGGACACAGAGCCACAGGCATCCTCATACATTGCTAGAGGGAATGTAAAATTATATAACCACTTTGGAAAGCAATTCGGCATTTCTGATAAAGTTACATGTATATTTATCATATGACCAGAATCCAATTTCTGGGTACATTTTTTTACTCAAGAAAAATGAAAACTCTCTGCAATCAACTTAAAGACTTCTATGCAAGTCCTTACACCAGCTTTATCGTGTAATAACCCAACATTGGGAACAACCCAAATGTCCACCAGAATGGAAAAATAACATGCATCTATATAATGGAATAGCATTTAACAACAAAAAGAAGCTACTAATCTATGCAGCAACATGAACAGATTTTGAAACATGTTAAGTTGAAGGAGCCAGACACAAACGCTTACATAGTCTCTGATTTCACTTATGCACCATTGTGGAAAAGACAAAACTATAAGGACAGAATTCACATTAGGGGTTACCAGAAGTAAGGGGAGAGGGCTGAGTACAGAGGAACATAACATGCGGAGAGCTTTTTGTAGTGTTGAAAATGTTCGGTATTTTGAGTGTGGTAGTGATCATGCCGTTAAATATGTGTATCAAGTCTCACCTTCAAAAAGATGAATGTTTACTTGAAAAACCTAAATAACAAAAGGGTGTCTTGCACACCTGTAACGTAATGCCAGTACCCAGGAGGCTGAAGCAGGATAGCCATGAGTTCAAGACCAGCCTGAACTATATAGCAAGGCACTGTGTTAAAAAAAAAAAAAAAAAAAACAAAAAACTAAAATTCAAAAAAAAGAGTGCCTTAACTTCTGTGGTCCCAAAATCAGGCTCAGGAAGGTAACGTCCAAGGTGCACCAGCTGCACAGGGCTGCACCTGCACAGACAGTGGTTCGAATACCAAGCCTGCACTCACGCCCTGCTGCTGACTTCTCCCTCAGGCCAATGCTTGCCTACTTCTGGCTTCCAGCTCTGGACAGGCCATGCTCTGACCAAGCTCTAATTTGAGGTATGTGATCCCTATTTGTAACCTATCGATGGAGCCAAAGTTTCTGGTCACTGGGGCTGAGCTGATAAGACTGTTGGCTCACCTGTTACAATCACATCAAGAATAAGCAGCACTTTGTTTCTGTGCAGTGGCCACATGCAGCGGGCGTCCTGCACCTCACACGCTCCTGACTCTGTCTGGGGCTTTATCATTTCAGTGCTCCTTACATGGGTCAACTGTGCCAGTGTGCGATGGGCCACCCGGGTTCAAGACATCTTTACAGCTGGGAAGCTTCTAGCTCTGGCCCTGATCATCATCATGGGGGTTGTACAGATATGCAAAGGTAAGTGTCATGGGAATAACAGAGCCCCACACAACTCTCTACCTCTTGCACATCCAGGCCCTGAGAGTTCCTGGTTCTGCCATTGGGAGAGCTCTTCCTCACTTGCTTGTCAAAGGGGATGAGAAACTATATTTCCCAGGGTGGCTGAGGGTAAGGAATCTACCCCAAAGCTTGCTAAGTTTTGTCTCCCCATGCTCTCCTCTTGGCTATAAAACAGCTGAGTAAAGATCCTGGACCTCTGGATTCTATTGCCATGTTGCCTCAAACTTAGGGAAGCTCTGGATCTCTATCATACCTTGTCCATATCTGAAAATGGAGAACAGAAGAGGAGAATTTTCTGTGCTTCAAAATTACTCATCTCTGCAAGAGAATGCTCTACATTCCTGGGGCCCCTGCCAACATTCCCCACTGGATTTGGTCTTTTCCAAGCCTAAGCCTGTATTTGGTTTCCATGGGACCCACGGCACACTAGGCTCTGCTCAGCATCACTGCCTCACAGGGAAAATCAGAACGTGGGGGGGCCTCCCACCTGCCCGTGGGCCCCAGAGGCAGTGAGGAGAGGTTGAATGTTTTGTTCAGGAAACAAGTTTCTGCTATATAACGTGCCTCCTTATTTTAATCTATTGGAATAAGTCAATTATCAGGTTATATTTTCAGGAAATTAAACTTAAAGAAATCACTGTGCTGTCTTTTCAGAGATGGTGAGTTTCTCCTAATCTGGTCTCAATTCTTTCTCCTGGTCACACTAATCTCCTGATTTCCTGTCCAGATGCTTGGTTATAGATGAATAAATAACAAGTGGTAGTCACACTCTTATCTCATTGCAATCTCAACAAGTTCCCCCTCCAGCAGTGCCAGGGATGGAACCCAGGGCCTCACATATGTGAGGCCATTGCTGTACCACTGAACTGCACCTGCAGCCCAGCACCCTGTTTTGAGGGCCCACTGTGTGCAAGACACTGTGCCAAGTGCCAAGAATGTGCTGTAAAGGCTCTTTACTACAGGACTCTGAAAAGAAAGAACACACAGCTGAGAAGGAAATAGGGTACAGACAAAGCAAGCAAAACAACCAGAAATAAGGGGCTGAGGATTTAGCTCAGCAGCACAGTGCCTGCCTGGCAAGCACAAGGTCATGAGTTTGATTCCCAGTACAGAAAAAAAAAAAAAAAAAAAACGGAACTAATATAACTATAGAAGCTTCTGTCTGAATGTGTTGTTCTTGATGCTTTCTTCATGGAAATGCACGAATTTAAATACCAGTGAAAGTCCTCAGGAGACTGCCAATGACTCCAGTCCTGCATTTCCAAAGCCCAGCAAGGCAGCCCCTCCCCCATGTATTACCGCTTTTCCTTCCCAGTAACTTTGCCCTTTAAAGGAGGAACACTGGTGGAGCATCACGGTGCATGCCTGTAATCCCAGCACTTGGGAGGCTGGGGCAGGAGGATCACTGAGAGTTCAAGACCAGCCTGGGCTACAAAGTGAGCTCAAGGCCAGCCTGAACTGCATAGCAAGACCCTGTCACAAAAAGACCAAAAAAAAAAAAAAATAGGGACACTGCCATGTAGTTCCATGTATAGGGACCTAATAGCCTCAATTAATGTAAACATTATATGCCATAACATGAGCTAAGATAAATAATATCAACAAGAATGAAAAATGGGACAGCAAATTGGAGGAGGTGGAAAGAAGCGAAGGGGATTTTAAAAAAAAAATAAAAGAAATAAGCTTTGTATGTACATGTAACCACAATCCCCAAGATGATCGTAAACTGTGTGAACCACAAACATGTACTACTAAAGTAAAAAAAAAAATTTAAAAAGGAACATTTCAGAACTGTGCTTTGAACTTGAACTCCCCATTGGACTCATGGTTACCAGGTACCAGGAGGTCCCTAGAGGTGGATTTTCCTGCCACATTTAGTCCTGCTTTTCCAGTACGGTGGGCTTACTAGAGACCAAAGAGCTGGCAGGGAGAGAGCTGCTGGGCCTAGACCCCCCTGTCTGAGCAGCATCCTGCCCGCTGTGTCCACAGGAGAATACTTTTGGCTGGAGCCAAAGAACGCCTTTGAGAGTTTCCAGGAACCCGACATCGGCCTCATCGCATTGGCTTTCCTTCAGGGCTCCTTTGCCTATGGAGGCTGGAACTTTCTTAACTATGTGACTGAGGAACTCGTTGACCCCTACAAGTGAGTTGAAGTAACCCGTGTCTTCCCCTCTTGAAAGCCCATAACATCTCCCGCTTGAAAAAGGAGCAGGTGTGCTCTGCCCACTTCTCACCCCCATTCTGACCCTGCTCTGGTCTCTCCTGAAGTAATAGTTCATTTCTCAGGAACTTAAGACATTTGCCATCCAAATGCCAGGAGGGGAGAAAGGGTCCTGTGACTGTCCCAGAGCAGGTTAAAAGCTGAAAACTGCTGGATAACACCTCTGCCTTAGCAAGTGACCTGTGTCCCACAAGGCCCCTGGGCATCCTGTTTTCAGGACAGGCCAGTTCTTGTGTCTTGGGGCAGATGGAAAAATGCACGGTAGAGATCTGGGTCAAAAAGACGTCTGCAGATATGGAGCATGTTTCCAGCCTAACCTGTTTCATTGCCTTTGAATTATCCTGCCCTGATTAGAGAAAGCCCACCTCCCAGGTAGAGGAAGCACCCCTCAGCTGCAAGGCTAGCCTCACGCAGACCCCATGGCAGAGCAGCATCCTGGACACAGCCTCCTCCTCACCTCCTCTCCCTCTGCAGGAACCTTCCCAGAGCCATCTTCATCTCCATCCCACTGGTCACGTTTGTGTATGTCTTTGCCAATGTCGCGTATGTCACTGCAATGTCCCCCCAGGAGCTGCTGGCATCAAACGCGGTCGCTGTGGTAAGAAATGAAACCCAGAACGCTGACGTAGATTTGCATTTAGCCCTCTCACTTTTCCCTGATCGATGGGCTTGTGGGACTGGAAATCATCCTCCAAGTCCTCAGTGCAGATCCATGTATGTCCGCAACATGGGATTCCCCAGTGCCCAGGAGCAAACCGATGGCCGGGTTGTCCCCCAAGCAGCTGCCGTGCAGAACTTAGTGGTTGCCACTGAATCTGTACAGTCTGAAGCCAGAGTATGTAGTATCTGACCCTTTACAGAACAAGTGTGCTGGCCACTGATCTAAGGCACTTTTTTTTTTTTTTTTTTTTTTTTTTGAGACAGGGTCTTACTATGTAGTGCTTGCCAGCCTTGAGCTCACTTTGTAGCCTGGGCTGGTCTCACAAAGATCCTCCTGCCTCAGCTTCCTGAGTGCTGGGATTATAGGCATGTGCCACCCTGCCCGGCCAAGGAACTTTAAGCTTTTACCTGTGAGGCTTGTCTAAAGGAGACAGCCACTCCTCACAAAGATAGAATCTGGCATGGGGCACAGCATTCCTCTCTGCCTCTGTTTCCTGTCTGGGAAGCGAGAAGCTGACTGCTCATCAGGGAAAAGTGGGTGCTGCTAAACAGCTCAGAAGTGGAGTAGATTGTGTTCTTTGGGGAAAGATCATGCACCTCCAGGGGGCTGGGGCCCTAGATACCTGAGCAAGGCCTAGGAGCCATGCTGCTGCCTTACCTGGCTTCAGTTGGGGCCGAACCCCATCCTGCCTGACAGTGTCTTCACTGCGTCATCTCTCAGAACATAAAGAAAGCACCCTGCCCTCCCCCTGGCAGCGTGTGCCTGTGACCAGCAGCCTTCTCCAGCAGGACAGCTACGTTACATGACCCCTCCCCAGTGGTGTGCTGTAAATCTGGCTCACAGCGTGAAGTAGTGGCTGGTTCTTATTTTCTACCAACATAACGTTCCTGCGAGTGTGGAAGTTCTTACCCTGTGAGCTAAGAGTCATACTTGTACAGATAAGAAACTGAGACCTAAAAATTACAAATCTCCGACACTCAGGAGACTGAAGCAGAGAAACCATGAGTTCAAAGCCAACCTAGACTACATAGCAAGACCCTATCTGAAGAAAATAATAACAACTACAAACCTGGGGCTGTAGAGCCCTTGCCTAACATGCAGTAGGCCCTAGGTTCAGTTACTCGGAACCACGGGGGTGTTGGGGAGAGCATTTACAAGCTTTGCTCAAGGTGGAGCTAGGATTTGAACCCAGAGCTGCCTGATTCACAAGTGTGGAGAGATTATGTTGAGAACATGGGGCCTGGGCTTACACCACCTGGCCTCCCATCCTGGGCCCCCTCTTCCTGGGTGTGCGATCTGAGGTGAGCCGCTTAATCACAATTGCCAGTTTCCTCACCCCTAACACGAGGATGATAAATGCTAGCTGAGTGCTACAACCATGAGCAGCATACATACTCCTCAGTACTCCTCAGTCACTCTCCCAGAGCCTGCGCAGTCACCCCGCAGACACGGTGGTGCGGGCAGGACCCAGAGAAGCTGTAGACCAGACTGGGAGACGCACTCTAGTGAAGCAAGCTGGAGGGGAAGAGTGCAGCTCGCCTTTCCCACTTTCCCTTTTGTTTTCCCTCCCAGACTTTTGGAGAGAAGCTCCTCGGGGTCATGGCCTGGATCATGCCCATTTCCGTGGCCCTGTCCACATTTGGAGGAGTCAACGGGTCTCTCTTCACCTCCTCCCGGTGAGTGCTGCTGAGCCCTTCTCCGGCAGGGCGGCTCTGCTTCGCACATTGCTCCCATGTACAAGGTGGGCTTGTCTGTGTCTGCGGGGCCTGGGTGGGCTCCTGGGTGGTGGCTTTGCTGAGGCGTGTGTGTCAGCCTGGCTGCTGAGGGCCTGTGCTGCTCACCTGCTCTGTGTGCGGTGTGCGGGCGCCAGGGCTTCCAGCTCGTTTCCGAAGAGCAGAGGCTGCATTTGGCAGCAGGACTGTGTTCTGGCTACAACCCAAGAGCCCCCTTTCCACTCCTCTGGACATGGGCTGCTGCCACCCAGAAAGACTCCTACTCTGCAAGGGACCAGGAGGGAGGCTCTGCCTGGGGCCTCTGGGTCTGTCCTCCTGTGAATGTTCTGGAACCAGACCACATGCGGGATGGGTTCCCCCAAATTCCCTGAGAATGCAGGGCTGCGCCCTGCTCAGTAGGCAGGCACTGTCAGAGGCCTCCATGAGATGGGTGGAGAATGTGACATGAGAGCTTGGGGAAGCGTGGAAAGAAAGCATTTGTCCACGAAGGGCTTTCAGCCGCACTCTTGCCCCAGAGCTCTCTGGGAAGTCGGAGCATGAGTGAGCCCTGGAGACCCTGACTCCTGCTCCACACACCCAGGGATCTGTTCTCCCCACCCCTTCTTGCCACCTCCAGAACATTCTGCTGAGGCCAGCAGACACATAATGGACGGTTTCCCTCTGTGTGGTCCAGGGAGTCCTCCCAGGTTCTTAGAAAGACCTTTGCCTTTGGGGCACAGCCCCGCGTAACTGCTGCCAAAGCCACCTGTCACATAAAGGAGGAGTTCCTATGAAATGACAAGGGCCTGCAGTGTTTTCAGGATCTAGGGCAGCAAAGAGGATACACGGGTGCCCCTTGTGCCCCAGACCCTAGAGACTCATCCACAGCAACCTAATGTGCATGTTATACCGGAGCCATGGCCGCCTGGAAACCCCAGCGAGGGCGAGCGGTGGAAAATGAGTGACGCACGAGGCCCCTGGGATCTAGGGAGGAGTGTGGCCGCAGTAGCTTTAGGGCAGGGTTTGTCCCTCACACAGGCTCTGCCATGGTCTGCGTGCATGTGGTCCAGCTGGGTGCATGCAGGAGATGGCGCATGGTGTGCTCACCTCTGATTTAGAGGCACAGCCTCACCCACCCCACCTCCCATGCTCATCTTCCAGTTCCTTCTTTCCTTCCTCTGTCCTCACTTTCACTCGTGCGTGTTCTGGGGAGTGGAGAAGGTGATCCTTCCTGGGTGTGTGTTATACTAAACGTCATCGTGTCCTGCATCATCAGCTAGCTGGGCAAGGAGTGTTTCTTTGGAACCTGACACTTGTTAGTGCTGTTGGACAATTACACTTGGTCCTGGCTGCATTTGGAGGAGGGATGTGAGTGTGGGGTCCCAGCTGTGTGCATGTGGAGGCCCGCAGAGCGCCCGTGCTCAGTCTAGTGCAGGAGGCTGCGCTGTAAGGACAGTGGCATGGGGGAGGGCCGGGGACAGGTGCATATGCACGAACCCCGGTGGTTCAGGATGGCCCTGCTTATGGATGCTGGAGCCAGTCCCCACACAGCAGACGCTGCCACTGCGCCACATACCAATTAGAGAGTATGTGGCAGTGCTCTTCCCACTCCCAGCGTTCGGCAGCTCTGCCTTTCTGCCCTCATCCCTCCACCCTCTTTCTCCCTTCCCAGAAGTGCTTCTCTGCCTAGAAAAAAGAAAAAGTGGTCTATTTTGCACTAATATGTAAATGACAACAACGTATGGTGTCTGCTTTTGGAAGAGGGAAAGGAAATGTTT